TTCTTCAAATAAGATGATGAAATATATTTCAAAAATAAGAGAAGTATTATATATATATATATATAGATGTTGGAAAAAATTTGTACGGGAAAAAGTTTTAAAATTGAAATGCTTTAGTAAATAATATAATTGTTCATAGTATATGTATAATAATAATATAATATAATATATATAATAAACTCAATTTATTAAACAAACATAAATACATAAATGTACACCAAAAAACCATTTAAAACATATGTAATGTCCCACAATAATGTAATAACAACAAGAGAGGCAAAAAACATTTATTAGAAGGAAAAAAACAGGGAAAAATAAAACATATTTTAGTAGTAGTTATTAAGAACATATGGAGAATATTATAACCAATTTGTAGTAATAACATTTACTAACAACACATTTAAAGCATTTGTGAATATATATTACAAAGCAAAAATAACATATTTCATTATAGGCAATGCATACAGATATATTTAGTGTTAGCAACAGATAATATAAAGTTCAGCATACTCATACTTAATATCACGACTAAATATTGAAATAGTAATGATATAAAACTTTAATAATACCTGAAGTGCTGTGTAAATATCAAATGCCAACTAACCAAATCAGAATGTATATAGAAATGATATAGTGCTATGAAGAGAGAGTAGGAAACGATTGATATTCAAGTGTAGCAGCATATTATGGAGGTAAGAAAAGACCAAATCTGCTCAAAATAAGCACAGTCGGGAAATATTTTATTGCCACATAATGAATATAGTATATAAAAAGTAAACTATAAGAAAGGAAAAAAGTCAAATAAGTTTTTGAATATACTTAGTTGCACTAACATATCACATACATACATTAAATCTATCTACAGAAAAAAGATATGCTTCATATTACACTATAAATTGAGTACAAAAAATAAAAAAATCAAGAAACTTTTTAAAAAAAATAAGATTGTATATAAATATTTGGTTCAAGTTATAATCATTTATTGTCAAGAACATATACCATGGGTAATTGAAAAATAATCTAGCAATATACATGGCTGTCAGCTATATTATTAAGGAGTTTATGCCATAAGTAAAAAAAATTAGTATAGTTTAGAACATCAATATACATTAACACAAAAAAAAAGAATATATTTAAGAAAAAATAAAGTAAAAAAGTAAACAAAGTACTGTAAAATAACAGTTGATTAAAATCAGAATGAATAAGAATGAAGCTTAGAAAAATTTTTAAACAGAATGTATGAAAAAAAACCGGAAGAAAATAAGAAAAATCATGACATGCAAAGTAACAATAAAAGTAAAACGAAGAACGAATTAAAATATATTGGCATAAGTCCAAAATAATAAGGGCAACATCAATGATATCCAAATCTATAATAACAATTACCCGGCACATGTTAACAACAAAAGAAATATAACAACATCATAACCAGAAGAAAATAAAATTTTTGAAAATAAAAAATTAAACTTTTGACAAAGGATGGTATAAAACTTTAATAATACCTGGAACGTTGTGTAAATATCAAATATCAGCTAACCAAATCAGAATATATATAGAAATGATGCAGTGTTATAAAAGAGAGCAGGAAACGATTGATATCCAAGCGTGGCAGTATATTATGGAGGTAAGAAAAGACTAAATCTGCTCTAAATGTACACAATCGGAAAATATTTTATTACCACATAATGAATATGGTATATAAAGAGCAAATTCTAAGAAAGAAGAAAAATAAGTATCAATTACTCATTAACGTCATAGCCCACGGACAGAATTGGAATAAGTACAAGTTTTGCTTGATTCAAACAAACACCAAAAATTGATGCCAAGAATTTGAGAGAATGGCTCCCTAATAAAGTTGCAAAAAAGCTTAGAATAATTGGCACAAATGATCCCTAACATCTTTAATAAGTGATAATTCTGAGTGACAAGTCAAAGGGTTTAATTGTGGCTAAAAGAAGAAGCAAAGCTGCACACCGAATTAGCATATCATCGTCTTTTATTCAAATCAAATGTCTAACTTGCTTAGATAATAATTATATCAAACAATTAAAAATGTTCCATTTGATGTTTACCCAAAAAAAAAAAAAAAAAAAAAAAAACCTCAAGAAGAGATCGATGAACACAGATCTGAGAAAGAACATATTTGCACAAAAACATAGAAATGGGAAGATAATGTGATATATAAGTTCAAGATCCAAAATGCCCTCAAAAATCGCAAAGAACACAGATTTGAGAAAGAAAAAATAATAAATTTTACAACGCGGTTCGCACAATGACTTCAAATAGCTTCGAATTCAAATGGGCTACTTTAAATTCAAATGGATTGGGATCAGCAGAAAAAATTCAAATGGATTGGGCTTGGTCTCGAACTTCCTTTCCATTTCAGCCGAACAACTAACCAAAACGACACGCATAATTAAATGCCAATTAATCAAAACGACATCTAACATCTTCCATAAAAAAGAGCACAAAGCACATTTTCACGTTGAGTAGCAAACAAAAAGAGTATTTATATCTGCATCATACATGAATCTCAAGGAAGTCATTTCTTTTTCCTAAATGTCCTGTTCATATATACAAAAAACACGTGCAAGTAATATTTTCCTGTAATATTGTAATCCGATAAGATTTTATCTGAATGATAATGACTTTTCAAGTAGTATTTACCACGTATATGGGTTTTTTTTTTAATGTATGGAGTCTTGTATTGAAGTGTCAGGCAATAGCAATAATAATAATAATAATAATAATAATAATAATAATAACAATACAAAATAATAATGACAATACAAAATAATAATAACAATAATAATTTTCCGAATATAATGATCTTGTGTTTATAGGTCGACTCTCCATGCATGAAAAAAAAAACGTACCTCTTAAAAGTACGATTTTTAATATTCTCCACAACTGGGTTATAAGATCCTGTCATATTGTATTTTTAAGTTATTATTTTAATTTTTCCTTTTATTTTCTTTCTATAAAGAGTGGTTTTTTTTTTTTTACAAGAAAAAAGGGTTTTGAAAATATGGCCCGTTTAGTTCGCTGAGTCGAGTTTTTAATTCGAGTTAATATGTGATTTTATGTGAGAGCTTTTTACTGTAGCAAAAAAATTATATGTGACTGTTTCTGAGAGCTTTTTACTATAACAAAACTCGAATTCTAAACTCGAATCAGTGAAATGAACGGGGTCGGCACTTCACGACTGACCGATTTGAGTTTAAAATTTGAGTTTTACTACAGTAAAAAGCTCTCAGGTTTAGTCACATCTAACTTTTTTGTTAGAGTAAAAAACTCTCACTTAAAATCACATCTCAATTTGAATTTAAAATTCGAATTAACGAACCAAACGAGCCCTTAAATAGCGTGATTTGGACAGCCACGAAACCAAAATTGGGTTTGGGCCTGGACAGTGGGACCCATGAAAGGATTGACATCATACAAAAAACATAGAACCCTTAAGGTCGTGTTTAGAATTGATCCCGTTTTTATTTTTCACGATTTTTGAAAAAGAAAAAATGAAAATATTTTTAAAACGACGTTTGGCGTAATAAAGACAAAAAATGGAAATGAAAACGAATTTTGGTTTAGTGTAAAATGAGAGATAAATGAAAAATGACTTTTAATCGTTTTTTTTTATTTTTTTGTTTTCATTTTCTCTTCTCTCAAAGAGAGAGAGAAAAAGACATTCATGAGCTTTTTATACTGAAAATATTCTCTTAATAAAACTACCAAACGCATTTGTAAAAAGAGTTTCTGTCTGAAATTGAAAACGTTTTCATTTTCATTTGCATATAAAAAATAAAATCATTTTAGAACGAGTTCCAAACGCGTCCTTTAAATTTCTTTTTCTTTCTCTATTTCTTTGTTTTATTTTTTTTATTTTTTATTTTTAGAAACGGCTTTTAATTTCTTCTGTGATGACAATTGACTACATAATTTATAAAAAAAAAAAATGTCACTGCATGATTATCTAGAATACAACGAGCTGGTTGTAAGATGCCTACAAAAAGGGGAAAAAAAAAATTAGTATGGTAAAAAATATTTTAGTTTTGGAATAAACGAATGCACCGCGCAGCTTAAAATTTTATTAACAAAACAATTTTACAAATCCAAATTGTCAAAAGGACCCCCGACAACGTCCTTGTCTCATCATATCATAATTTATTAAAATATAACAATAATGACAACGGCAAAAACTACAAAATAAACAAATTCAAGTTATTTTGTCTTCTTATGACCCAATTGGCCATGTTCACCACCATGTGGATGACCAATCAATCCCATCCATACACATGTGGATTATGGTTTCCCATGATGCAATTCTTTGATCAGAATCAAACCAAATAACGTATGCCAGCTTAAAACTTTCCTGAATTTACCTTTAACTGAATCCGATCAAATTTGTGGTAAATTAGAACAGGAGAAAGGCAGAGGCAGCAATAATTGCATACACATACGAATAAAAAGTAGATCTCTGTTATGAAATATTTTGATGGACCACACTTCAATGTTTACGTAATAAGAGTTTGTTCTTTTGGAGTTTAATTTGAGTATAATTTTTAAATTGAATTTGAGTTATAACTTGAGTTGAACTTGTAACTTGAGTTTGTATTTAGTTGTGTACATTTGAGTTATAGTTTGTGATAAAAATCTTTTTGAGTTTGTGTTTGAGTGAATCAAAACTTGAATTTGTATTTAGATAATATTTTAATAAAAACTCAATGCTAATGAAAAATTTTAATAGGGTATATGGGTCAGATTTTATTCGTCTTTTCGTTGTCAACGCATAGAAAAAAAAATCATCTCAATCAAAATTAAAATGAAAAAGTTATAGCATTTTTAATAATAGAAAAAATACTGTTTATTAATTTGAGTTCGAGTTTCTGAACTCGAGTTGAAGGGAAAATTTAAACTTGAGTTTTAGTCCTAAACTCGAGTTTAAATTCGAGTTTAAACTCAAGTTTAAACTTAAAAGAACATGAACTCAAATAAAATTATAACTCGAGTTATATTTTTTTGAGTTTTTCACTCAAAAGAACAAGCCCTGAGAGTACCTCCAATATTTTTCATCAGGAAATTACGTAATCAACCGGTACACACAAACACTGCTCCGCCGGTTTCCTCAGCGCATCGTCGACCGTCCAATCGTGCCATCGACCCCTCATCGCTCCATTCAATCGTCGGATGAACCCCTTGTCTCTCTCTTCACAGTAACCCAACAGCCGTGCCATTGATCTAGGGTCCTCCTCCTTGTACCAACCATGGTCTTGACCGCATCTGATCGCCGGAACCTCTGCGCCGCCGCGGTGCCCCAACCCAGCCGCCGTTGCTATGTACTCAACCACACCCGATAAAACCCCCGGCGGAACGGTTGACTCGCCGTCCCAGAGCCACACCCGAGCCATGCCACGTAGGACAGCCGACGTCATCGCGTTGTCCACGTCGGGCGCCTCCATCACCTGAGGACTTATATCAATAACGAACCCGTGTGGGTCTTCGCCCGAGGGAGACACGTCGACTTCGCCGGAAAATTTATTGTTGGAGAGCCGGAGGGTGACGTGGCTCACTGGCTTCTTCGGAGAACTTTCATCGTAGAGAAGGTCTTCGACGAATTTGCTTGCGTTGAGAACCACACGAGTGGCTTTGTCGTCGGAGACGTAGAAGAGATCGAAGCGCTTACCGGCCGGTGAGTCGCGAGATAATTGGTTGACGATGGATATGTCGAAACCCTTGGAGGATTCATAGCTTGCCCAGATCGAGAGAGTGGCAATGAACAAGACAAAAACTAGCCGGAAAGCGATTCCGCTGTTTGATGACATGGAACTGACGATGTGTTTGGTTTTTTCATGGTACTTATATTCACTGTCGTCGTTCGGGGAATCGACGACGGTGGTAAGGATGGGTATGAGGGGTTGGGAAAGGGTACCACTGTGACGTTGGTCCCCCATGGAATGAAAGGTCCAATAATGTACAGGAAGAGACGTGGAGAGTGTGAGTAGTGATTGGTATTATAGGAGAGAAAAATATTTAAGGTCAAATGAGTGTATAATGTTTGGTTTGAAAGCTGAAATAATTTGTAAATATGATGAGTAGGTTTTTCTATTTAGGGAGGTAAGGTCCACACAAGCTTTACAACTAGGTTTTGCATATGCCCACGTTGATTTGTATTATTAAGAGTAGAACAATGTTATACGGTACCGGTGGTATTAAGCACTACCATTTAATAGAAGGTGAATCTGGCATTATGGAGCCCATAAATTGGATTCATCTTCTATTAGATGATGGTTGAGAGTAGAGTAATGCTATACGGCACCGGTGGTGCTAAGCACTACCATCTAATAGAAGGTGAATCTCGCAGTATGAAGCCCATAAGTTGAATCTGTCTTCTATTAGATGGTTGTGGTTAACACCAATGGTGTCCTTTAATGTTTTTCTTGAGAGTATTATATATGTGATACTATAATATGTTTGTCTCATGGCTCATAATTAATTCTCTAGCTGTTTGGTGGAGATTGAGGATGAGAGGTTAAAAGGGGCTTCAAAATTGGAGCCTAATTTGTGAATTGTATCATAATTTAGGTCATGTCCTTGATATTGAGGTAAAAATTAAAAAGAATTATTAAATGTGATGATAACCACATGTGCATGCACTAATTAATCATTCCTTCCCAAAAATTTACGGTTGCTTCATTATTTAATTTTTCATGCTTTTTTTTTTTTGTTTTTGTTTTTGCTTGAAATGACTGTTGGTTATTGATCTCTCACATGAGTGCGTTACTCACTATAAGTCGAGGTGATGAATTGCAGTATTATGCTTTTGGACATCTTGTGAAAAATTGTAATTTTTTTTAATGTCTTTCCCATAAACGTGAGCAAAACTTTGATATCAAGAGCAATTGTAGATGAATAAGGATGATATGGTTGGACACCGAGAGGTGGTTCCTGAAGAGCAGAGAATTCCGTCTAGAGAGTGATAGACTTGAGATGAACTTAATTACTAACAACAGTATTAATTCTCAGTCATGTTGATTCATATATATATATAATTCTAGTGAGGCAGAAACACTGGATGAAATCGGAAATAGTAGTGACCGAGTCATTAATTGTCAATTCAGGTCTCAATTTGGAGGTAATTGTCTCATTGATCTCTCCAATTAATGTTGTTACGGTTTATCAACCTGCAGATACGATCTCTAGCTGATGAATGGGACTAATTAGCAATTTTTTTGGCGGAGATATCAGGCGATGGCAACATAGATCATCCTAAAAATAAAAACCTTGTAGTAAAAAATGCTTTAACGATCAACAACCGTACGATGGCTCGGTAAGGATAGAGACTATGGTTTAATTTAGTAGTGCTGTAGATTTTAAAAAAATGACTTTTAGTTATGCTGAAGGAAGAAGCGGCTGTTACAAAAAGTAGGTGAGTGTTTGATAAACTATAATTATAATAGTTGCGTTGGTTCTAAAATATGTGTAATAGCGTTTGATAAATTATAAGGTTGAATTACTGTGGATAGTTAAAAATTACGACTATATTATATTATACTATACTATAATATATATAATTACAATATAATATATAT